TTCTTTTTTGAGACAGAATTTTGTTCTTGTTGCCCAGGCTGGAATTCAGTGGTGCCATCTTGGCTCACTGCAGCCTCTGCCACCCCGGTGCAAGTGATTCTTCTGCCTCAGCCTCCCAAGTAGGTGCGTACCACCTTGCCCGGCTTATTTTTTTTTGTTTTTAGTAGAGATGAGATTTTGCCATGTTGGCCAGGCTGGTCTCAAACTTCTGACCTCAAGTGATATGCCCACCTTGGCCTCCCAAAGTGCTGGGATTACAGGCATGAGCCACCATACCTGACTGAGAGATTTTATTTTCTTTCTTAAAATTTGTTTTTCACTGACAAAAAATTACATGTATTTATTGTGCACATGTTGTTTTGAAATATGTTTACATCATGAAATGTCTAAGTCAAGCTAATATGTGCACTACCTCACATATTTATGAGAACACTTGAAATCTGTTCAGTTAGCAATTTTCAAGAATTCACACTTATTAACTGTAGTCACCATGTTGTACAACAGATCTCTTGAAATTATTTATCCTAAATTTTTCTGCCCTTTGACCGATATTTCCCTCAGCAATCCCCCGTGCCCCACCACCCAGTAATCACCATTCTACTCTCTGCTTCTATGAGTTAAGTGAGATCAAGCAGTATGTGTCTGTCTGTGCTTGCCTTATTTCACTTAACATAATGTCCTCCAGGTTTAGCCATGTTTTCCCAAATGACCAAATTTCCTTCTTTTTAAAGGCTGAATCATATCACATTATGTATATGTATCACATTTTCCTTAACCAGTCATCTATTGGTGGACATTTAGGTGGGTTCCATATCTTGGCTATGTGGATAATGCTGCAGTAGACATGGAAGTGCAGATACATCTTTGACATACTGAGTTCATTTTCTTTGGATATGTACCCAGACTGGGATTTCTGGACCCTACTTTCTTAATAATAAGACAATGTAATTCATTGAGAAGAAGAGGGAGGATGTGGGAAGTTGGAAGAGAGAACAGATGGTGTGGAGTCAGATAAGTATTCTCACTATGGACGCACAGTAGAATTCATGGCCATTGCCAAGTGTTCGTTTGAGGTTTATTATCCAGAATTTAAGGTTAAAGCATCAATTTAAAATTAATCAGTCTGGTTCTGTGATTTTCTTCAACAAGTAGCAACTGAGCAGGTGGAGAGTTGAGTTCACCAGGGAAACCTACAAGCCTTCAGGGCTTCATCCATTAAAAATATCCTATCTTTAGAACCCAGGGAGGGTGGGGGCAGAAAGGAGAACCAGAGAGTGACACTATGTGTTATTCAGATTGCCGATCCCTTTGAGTTTCTATTTTAAGAGCCTGGATGTCAATAGTGCTTAATTTAATCAGCCTCTTACATGTTAAGAGGGAAATTGAAAATCTTAGTACTAAGACAAGTTTTCAGCAGAAGCTCAGACTAATGAGCTAAGAGTGTTACAGGGTAAAGGAGGATGACTTATCTATTTATTCCAGAAGACAGTTATGACACTGCAGGACAAATTCTTTGGCCTGGACCCTGTTTACCTGGATATTATTAGGGTCTATTAGTTGCTTATCTTGGGATCTTTTCTTCCCACAAACTATCATTTCTTGGACTGGCCTGAAGAATCTTCCCATTAGCTCTGAGGTCAGTCCAGACCTTAGGACAAGAAGATTTTAGGAGCTCTTGTTCAGAACTCAGTGGATTCTCATCTCCTTACTCTGACATGCAAGCCTTTTATATGACGTGGCTTCAACCTACTTTCCCAGATTCATTTCCCACCACTCCAGTTACACCAAGCTGTGTGTAGATCCCTGATGACTTCTATCTTCAACAGTCCCCCTCTCCACCTATGACATCCTTCGCGGCCTTGTCCACTGGGGAGCGGTTATTGTTCCCTCCAGGCTCCTCAAATGTTCTCTCTTCAAGCTTTCTCTGATTCTGTTCCTCAGTTTTCCCATCAGCACTTAGTATCTGGCTCTGCAAGCACTTATCACATCGTGATGTGATTCATGTATTTGTCTACACAATGTTTCTTCAGCGACTATGTCAAATTTATCTCTGCAGGCCCAGCACTTAGCACAATGCCTTGCATATAATGAGCACTTACGTTTGATAAGTAACAGCATCCGATCCAATTTGCTGTGAGAAAAACAACAACTCTAGAAAAAGAGCTTCTACCTTTTTCCTAAAATAAAACCCCAAACTGATTTTAAGATCTGTAGCAGTTTGGCAGTTAGTATAGTGAAGCAATTAAGTTTTGGGGTTCTAGTTGGAGACGTGAGCTTAAATCCCAGCTCTACCACTAATGAGTCAGGTACCACTTTGCGCTTCAGTTTCCTCATGTTTAATAATGAACATAACAAAGGATTTCATAAGCTTGCTGGACAAATTAGTGGAGACAGCACATGCAACGTGCCCTCTCAGTGCTTGCAGTGCTCAGTACATAATGGGCAATTAACACTAGTTATCATGATCACTTATTGTGAATTGTACTTCTCTGGAAGCTAGATTCTTACTGATTTATATCTCAATCTTTGTCTTGAAGTCTTCAGTATTTTTGTTCCTCAATGAATGCATCTCTGCCTTGCATTCCCTTTTTCCCTCTCCCCACCCTCCGGCATTCAAACTACCACCCCAAGATGATGGCAGCAAACTAGCAAACTAGCCAACCTCACCATCTTCACTGCCAGCCTGGATCTCTCAACACCACTTTCCAAAGTTCCCTAATGCCATATTCTACCTTTCGGCCTCTGCAGACACCATCATCTCTGGTGGGGTGTCCTCCTGACTCCAGCTTTGCCTGGGCTTCCTCTCCCTGGCTATCTGTATTCCTTAGCCTTCCCAGTTGTCTTTCCTTCCCTCCCCCGTTGAATCTACTCCATCTCCAATATCTGCCCCACCCCCAGCTCTTCCATCTCCCTCTGGGTCTGTACGGAGTGCCAAGGTTAAACCTATTTCCCATCTGTGGCCACAGTGTACATCTTATATTTGCTGTGAGCACTTTTGCTGAATCCTATCACTGCCCCCAAGAGAGTATGCTGACTCAGCTAAATTTCTTAAGATTCTTTTCCAACAAGGATCCCCAGACAATCACATGTATTAGATCAGACTACACTTTGTTGCTTTTAACCAGAGCCATCTAAATAATCCATTCACATCTTCCTAGCTGGAGCTCAAAACTGTCAGCGTTCTGGCTGTAGTAGATGGTGGTGAAAAAAACAAGGGCTTTGGCTTTTTAGTCAAATGGTCTTCCCAGCCAGAGCTTTAGGCCTATGTGATATTTTGACTAGAACTCTCCATCCCACTACCAAATAATCTGAGGAACTTAAGTAGATTAACAGCAGATGTAAATATGTGGAAACAAGGAGAACTCCATATTCTAAATGTTTACATGTTTCCCAAGCCTCAAAGTTAGAAATGACCTTAGCCTATTCATTTAATTCATTCAAACTAAAGTCTCAGTCCATTGAAATGGCAAATTTTGCCAAGACAGAGAGAGAGGGAGAGAAAGAGACAGACAGAGAGAAAGGGAAGGGAGGGAAAGAAAAAAATAAAAGAAAGCTCAAAAGCTGCCCTGGAACTGATCATTTCTAGATAAACAAATTACCCTTAAGATAGAGCTGCCATGAGTGAATTAAACAGGCGTTTTCTTCCACACCATCGAATGCATTAACAACTTTATAAGACTATTTTTTCTTTTTACTCTCATAGAATTTTGTATACATTTGCATGGACTTGTAAGAAATAACTTCATACATAATAATTATGTTCTGATTATATAATCATATTCTATGAAGAAGACATACATAGATCTAAGACCCTCTATAACTTAAAATACTTCTGTTACCAAAAATGCATTTCTTGCAAAACAAAAGAGAGATGATTGTTTTTATTTGCTAAGGGGAGAAATCACAGGATGATAAAATTATTCCATTCATCATATTAGTGGTTAGTTAACCAGACACGGGAAAGGAGGTAAAGGATTAGGGGAGAAAAATCACTGTTCGCAACATTTTGAGTGATGTTTCGTTCAAGGATCACAATTCTCTTCCTCCACGTTTAAAAGGGAGCAGAGCCAAGAGGAACTGCATTGTGCTTTCTAGGCTTGCAAAGCATGCCATCCAGACAATTTGGAGAAGGTAGGGGGAAGAAGAGCCTAGATCTCTTCTAAGGCTTCAGCTTAAAGCTTCCATGGGGATTGGAGTAGAAATTCACTACACATCTGCATTCCAGCAACCCACTCCCACGTTTAAGCTGCTATTCCCAAGTGCCTGTTACTAAATATAGCTCCTGCCTTTCAGACTGACAGGAGAGCTCCCACTGTGTATACCCAGAGCTGAATCTTCACACACTCCTAATATGGTCAGCCCTGCAGCCTATCAGCCCTAGAGCACAGAAGGGAAGCAGTGCTGCCTTTACAGGCTTCCTAAGGTTAACCCTTTCGTGGAAGACAGGATGGAAGAGATTGACCACTGGGAGCTGCAGATTCTCTGGTTAAAAACAATGCCTAAAATCGACATGATCTGAAAACCAGGATGCAGCCTGCTTTCCAAATACAAATGCTTATGGATAGTATTAGACGGAGGAAGCAGGGCAAAAGGAACTGCCTAAACCCCATGGGTCCTTGACATGAAACAGATGAAGAAAAACAAAGGCAGGAAAGAAAACATTCTCAGGAGGGTGGTAAAGGCAGTAGAAACAAGGGGTCTGGCCAGTGTGTGCCACCCCTTCCCTAAAGACTGTGTGTCTGTTCTGAGGGAGCAGCTGCTCCCCGGGACAAAGAGGAAAACAGGTGTCCCTGCAAACTTGACAGCAGACCCAGTAGAAAGCACAGAATGGGTTCCGTGGGCCACTGAATATGTTTCCCAGTATTTATGAGATCCCACCATCCCAAAGACAGGAACTGTAACCACCAAGCAGGGTATCCTTGCCCACTGCCTAGACAGCTGATTTATCAAGATAGGGGAATTGCAATAGAGAAAGGCTTTAATTCATGCAAAGCCAGCCGTATGGGAGCTAGCTTTTTTATTCCTCAGATCAGGATAATTTGGTAGGTAGGGTGTCAGAAAGTGAGGAGTGCTGATTGATCAGGTCAGAGATGAAATCATAGGGAGTTGAAGCTGTCCTCTTGCTCTGAGTCAGTTCCTGGGTGGAGTCCATAAGCCCAGATGAGCCAGTTTATAGATGTGGGTGGTGCCAGCTGATCCATCCAGTGCAGGGTCTGCAAAAGATCTCAAGCACTGATGTTAGGTTTTACAATCGTGATGTTATCCTGAGGAGCAATTTGGGAGGTTTAGAATCTTGTAGCCTCCAGCTGCATGACTCCTAAACCATAATTTCTAATCTTGTAGCTAATTTGTTAGTCCTACAAAGGCAGTCTAGTCCCCAGGCAGGAAGGGGGTTTGTTTTGAGAAAGGGTGGTAATTGTCTTTGTTTCAACGCTAAACTATAAACTAAGCTGCTCCCAAAGTTAGTTCAGCCTACGCCCCAGGAACGAACAAGGACAGCTTGGAGGTTAGAAGCCAGACGGACTTGGTTAGGTCAGATCTTCATCACTGTAATCATTGTCTCAGTTATAATTTTTGCAAAGGCGGTTTTAGGACCAGTCTGTATTTCTAAGTGCTGATCAGAGGCCAAAGGTTCTGGAAGAAATAAGGAAGCACCAGCCAGCAGTTAGGCAATGAATGCCCCTCATAACTTGCTCAAGTGTTACTGTGAAATACTAAAATCCTTTTCCTTCCTCTGGAAAAAAGGGAAATCTCTGTGCTGACTTCCCAATAAGAGGGCTGTTAGAACTGGTGAGTTCCTTTCTGAGAGTGTGCTGTATAATAAAATGAAGTTTCAAGATGTTGATGCTCAGAGCACAGATTTTTGCTGCTGCTTCTCAGCATTTCATGGGTGTCCATAATTTGGTAAGGGGGTTATATGAATGAGAGATGGAAAGGATAAGGACCCTTGGTAAACAGCATCAAGTATTCACTCAAGGGTTCAAATGTGGGCACTCTTGAAGGTGGGTCCCCTCTCGCTCCTCACTGCAGGCCGACAAAGCTGTGATTATTTGTCTTCCGAAGTCCTATGTTAGAAAAATGGTTTACATTTTTATCAAGGCCAGAATTCCAAGAAGCACATTAGAAGTAATTCCAAATTAGAAGTGACAATGGTTGGGCTTATTTGTGATAAAAAGCATGACCTAAACTGCTAGATATCATCCTCCTCCTAATAAAAAATGGTTGGGCACATGCAGTGAATTTCTCTGCTATCCAGCCCAGGTTTGTGCCTGTTCCACTTATTACTGCCTCTCTCGGGGGGGTCAAGGACCCCACCTTTTGTGCCACTCAAAAACCAGGGTGGTTTTTGAGCAGGACAGGTAGATGGGAGTTCAGCAGAGTCTCAGGTTGCAAACAGCAGTTCTTCTGCTGTGGACTAAACCCCAGGCAGCCGTGGAAGAAAGGCTCCCTCCTGGCACAGGAGAGACCTGCCTCAAAGGCTCTTTGCTTGGGTAAGAAAAAAGAAAGATGGCCACCTGCAGCTTTGGCTTGGCTTCCATGTGGGTCTTGGCCACTGACCATGCTCTGTCGCCTCTACATTCTTTTCTCCCCTCCTGGTAACCCAGATCTGACCCTTCAAGGTCACCTCCCACCTAAGTCTTTCTGTGTTCCAAGAGGTAGGATGGGCAAGATCTACCCTGCTTCCCCCTCTCGCCCCCTCCCCGCCAACACACACATGGTTTTCTTCTTTACCTTTGTTGTTGCATAAACCCACAAGTGGGACACTCGGTTCCTCTCAGAGCCTTTACTTTTAATCCAAATGATCCCTACAAGTAAATAAAGAAAGCTGTAATTAACCGTTTGTTTCCCTTATGGTTTTAGATACAGCAATCCTGATTCTTCTTGTATCAATGCGGTAGCCTCTAGCAACTACAGAAAGTATTAGGAAATTTGATGAAGGAAGAATAACATAGAAAATAATAGATAAGATATTGTCTTGTACTATCTAATAGACACTATTACAAAAGGAGTAAATGGCATGAAATTGGCAGAAAAGGAACACCAAGAGGAAGTTAAAAGCATTGCTTCAGGCTGGGTGTGGTGGCTCATGCATATAGTCCTAGCACTTTGGGATGCCTAGGCAGGAGGATCCCTTGAGTCCAGGAGTTCAAGTTTGCAGCGATCTATGATTGCACTCCAGCCTTGGTGACCGTGTGAGACCCTGTCTCATCTCTTAAAAAAAAAAAAAAAAAAAGAAAAAAGAAAAAAGACTAGTTGTTTATTTACAGTAATGCATAGACAAGCTTTGTCAGGACTTCTTTCAATACCCGTGTTTGTAGCCCAAATGAAAACTTGAAAGAAGCATCCTTTAACCTCTTTTTAAAGTTCTTTCAGTGGTTACAGTCAACATCACTAAATCATAACCTCAAAGCTACAACCCAACTTTAGCCAGCCTGCCCCACCCCACACAGGGTTAGGGAAGATAGCTATAGAAAAGGTTGGTACTGCTTTGGAGCTTCGCATGTCAGAAGTACCCGGGTCCTTTAAAAAATGTGGACCATGACGGGTGGGTCAAGAGATCGAGACCATCCTGGCCAACATGGTGAAACCCCATCTCTACTAAAAATACAAAAATTAGCTGGGCATGCTGGCGTGCGCCTGTAGTTCCAGCTACTCAGGAGGCTGAGGCAGGAGAATTGCTTGAACCCGGGAGGCAGAGGTTGCGGTGAGCTGAGATCACACCAGCTGCACTCCAGCCTGGCACCTGGTGACAGAGCAAGACTCTGTCTCAAAAAAATATGGACCATGAACTTAGCATGTTCATATTTGCAAATGGTTTATATTAGAAATCATTAATAAGATTTCTTCATTCAACAATTATAAGTTCTGCTCCATGTTATTCTCTATTGTTAGCTGATAGAGATAATTTAATGACTAAAGGGTTTCTACTCACTGGAGCTCTTAGTGGAAGAAACAAAAAGTAAAAATAAATACTGATTTTTATCATTACTATGAAGGGAATAAATAGTGATATGATGAGTAAGATAATACCTACAACAGGGACACTATTTTAGAAAGTACAGTCTGAAGAGAAAGACCTTGAAGAATAGTCCACTTTAAGACAGAACCAGTTTAGGGTGAAAAACAGAAGCAACATCAGTGCATGGCTTGAGTCTTTGGCAAAAGGAGGGGAAGGAGGAGAGAGCTAAGGCTGGTCAGTAGGGAGGGAACAGAAAAGGCCACAAAAAAGTTGACATTTTAATTCTAATTTCAGTGGGAAGGCATGGAAGAGATCTTAGCAGAGAAGGAACATGATCTGAATTCCAGGTTTAATGTCAACAGTCTCTAAATTGTGCTCTAATTATTAATAACTGCAGTTTTATCATCAAATCGATGACAGTAAAGATACCCAGATACCTGCGGTGCGCCTACGAATCTTCCCCAATCGCACCCTCCCCCACAACACACACACGGTTTTCTTCTTCATCTTGGTTGTTGCATAAGCCCGCAAGGGGGACACTCAAGAGGCTATTCCAAGTTTAGCCTCTTAAAGTTTGAAGATTCTGCATCATGAGGAACTGAGTCATTTTGGAAGTTAACCTGTTTCACAGAATCCCAGGTAGAAATGCTCCTTTCTTCTCCCTCTGAAGAGCTAGTGAGTGTCTTCCTCTCTGATTATATGCAGGAAAATAAACAGCTCCCGCGGCCAACCTAGATAGATGAACTGACCCTCAGGTTGTACAGAACAGCAGTCACCAAACTTTCTGGCACCAGGGACTGGTGTCATGGAAGACAATTTTTCCATGGATTGGGAAGGTGATAGTTGGGAAGGTGGGGGAAAGTGGGGGTGAAAGAGGGGTAGCCGGAGGGATAGTTTAGTTTAGGGATGGAACTGTTCTACTTCAGATCATACCGAGTGTTAGATTCTCATAAGGAACACACAACCCTCGATCCCTTGCGTGCGCAGTTCACAGTAGGGTTTGTGCTCCTGAGAATTGAATGTCCCTGCTGATCTGACAAGAGGTGGAGCTCAGGTGGTAATGCTCACTTGCCCGCTGCTCACCTCCTGTTGGGTGGCCTGGTTCCTGGAAGGCCAGGGACTGGTATAAGTCTGCGGCCCTGGGGTTAGGAACCCCTGATGCAGAAGACCTGTTACCCTGATCTTGGTACTGTATTCCAGGCCTAGGAAACTAAACTGGTAAAGACAAATAAACTTCCTATTTCGGACATCAGGCCTGGGAATCGACTGTCAGTAAAACAGTACATGAAGAATATAATGATTTCAGCAGCGGTGCTGTGGGTGAGCTTTCATCCCTATGATTTTGGCTAATATCTTGATGGTGTTTTTATAGCTACTGATACCACAGGTCGTTAGCACTTAGGTGAAAACATCTACACTGAATTCTTTCCTGTCTGAGTCTAACTTGACTCTGGTGACTTGGGGGTGAAGAGAGGGGGCTGACAATATTTAATTTGGAATGGGCTGAGATATATTTTTGTGGGTAGAGATTTTTCTCTGCAGGATTGACCACCTAAACTTTTAAGAGCTACAAATGGAGAATGACATGCTTCCCATGCCATTGGCAAGGCCTTGAGGGTCTCAATAAAGCATCACTTAATATTCATGAGGTTTCTTTCATGCATGCCCTCCTTAGTCTCAGGCCACAGAGAGGGATAGGTAGAGGTGCTTATGAAGTACTCTCTGATGAACGGAAGCATAAATCTTCAGTTTAATTAGTAATGCTATTCAGCTCCAAGACAGCTGACATGCCCTTTGTACGGCTTTGAGTTGGTAAAGCCAGGGGATCAATATCAGTTTAAAGGCTGTTTCTCACTGTTCACACTTAGAACACAACAAAGGAAAGAATTCTTCTAGGAAAGAGCAGAGAGATCAGTGTCTTCAAAAGTGGGTGAAGATGTAGACAATAACCATTTTTCACAACAACAGCAGAACCATTATGTGTTTTAAACACAGATTTAATGGGTGGGTTTGTGTGAATGTGTGCATTTGGCAAAGTTCTCAAGAGCTGTTCTTTCTTCATGGGGGGAAAAAAAGAAACTCTTAATAAAGGCCAAGGAAACTATTTCAGCTAAGAAAGGAACTGCAATGGCTTGTAATGTAACTCATGAAATAATTGTAGCCAGAGCCAGAAAATGCAGTCATTGGGAAATCCTCAGTAAGAACAAGACTGTGAGGGGCCCCAGACAGCTGTGCTTTCATCTTTACAGTCTCTACTACAGGAAAATGACCTTATGATGGCTTCCAAGACCTGTATTTCTTTATGAAAGAAACTACTAGAGGGAATAAGAAAATCATAGACAGGCCCTAAAAGTGGAATAGAAGAGGAAGTTCTTTTGAGTTTACTTAAAAGATAATTTCAAAAGAGTTTAATTATTTTCTATCTTAAAGTACAAAAGAGGCCTTTGGGGACGGAAGAGACCCTAGCCAGGACACATGATCAGATGAGGCCTTCACAAGCCAATTGCTGAAATAGATGAAATTAAAAGCCATTGATTTAATTAGGTCACCTCAGCACTTTGATCAGGGAGACCATTTACCAAGTGTGAAGTTGCTTGATATTTGGCTATTACAACAGGATGAGGAAAAGAAGGATCAATGGTTGAAGAAGCACTCATGGATATGCGCGGAGACAAAGCGCCTAATGAGCAGGTGAGTGGGCCCTGTGCTTGCTGGGGTCTGGATTTGCGTTTGCTCTCCTCAGATGCCTTTCTCTGTCCTGTTCTGTACGGTGGAGGCGGCTGACTCCTACACACTGTCTAGGCTCCTGGTTGGAACTGAGACTAGAGTGTGGGAGGAAAGACAGATATGGGTGTTTTCCTCTGCTCTGCCCTCTACTTTCACTGCTAAGCTCTGACAAGGCAGCATCCTCTCAGGCCACTGCCTCCCGGCCTCTAGTTCTTCATGGGCTCTGGAAACACCATTCCCCTGCCATTCGGCTCTGCAGGTGATAATGGCTTTCTGCTCTTGCTAATCTCTGGTTGCCTCCCCATCTCCCCTCACCCTACCCACACCTTTCACAATAGCCCCTCTTACAGTCACTTCACTCAAACCTCTGGAGTTGAACTGCTTTTCCTGCCAGAACACTGACTCATATAGTGCTAAATACCTCATCACACACACAAAAGGACTGCAATTGTATTCTAAGGCAAATGGCTACAGTACACCATCGGTACCATATTTAGATGTAGTGTCTCTGTGTAGGAAATCTTGCCACATTAGTACAGAACTCGGATTCGCAGTTTGTTGTTTTCTTTCTTTGTTTTCAGCAGGGGTCCATGTTCTTTCTATAAGCATGATAGAAGTCTGGGCCAGAGCTCCAGATATCCACTATAAAATCTAGGTTACTGGGAGCCCAGAAAGATAAAACAGCAGAGGTTTCTTGTAGCAAATTTTCTGAGTAGTGTTAATGTTACAGTCTTGCTAATGCACCACAATGTAGCAGTCTCTTGTTTGAGGTATCCCAGAGTTCTTTGCCTCTTGACCCAGAAAATTAAGGAGTGTGGACACAAAGGGTGAGGTTGGAATGAAAGTTTAATAACTAAATGGGAAGGGGAGGACTGTGCTGACTGGTCTGCAAGCCATTTTGGAAAAAGCACCACTTACAAAGAGGTATCACAGTATAAAGAGCCAATTAGAGGCAGAGCTAAAGGATTGGCCTGGGACCTTGGCCTGGGACCCATCAGGGGCTGAAGTGATGACTCACCCTATGTAACTGAAGACTTAGCCCACAGCTAATTACAGAAAGGTAGGCATATGTAAAATAGGTGAAAAGCAAGTGACTAAGGCATACCAAGGAGAGAGAAATGTGTCCAAAAAGGGATAGAATTTGTTCATCAGGGTTCACAGGGTGTTTCCATTCAAGGATGCAGGCTCTCTCTTATCTAGGGCCTACAGTTTCATTTTCTGGCTGTTCTTTGAAGAAATTTTTATTAAGGACCCACCTTAACTGCCTGCCTGACTGGTTTCTTTCTTTCTCCTCTCTAAGAGAATTTAGGACTTGACAAATATTTTCCAAAGAATCATTTATAAAGGAATACAGGCATTGTGCATTTGCTTTCCCCCAGCTATGAGAAGGTAGTCAAGGCAAGAGACTGGAACACAGACAAGAGAGAGAAAAGGAGAGAGGAAGGAAGGGTTGAGGGGGGCAGTGGAGAAAAGAGAACTATAAATTCTCTCTTAAATTTCAGCCAAGGCTAGTAAATTTTCCTTTTTTAGAAAACTGAATAATTTTATTTGCAGAATTAATGCCAAGATTTTGGCTATGCAAAAAGGGTCAGCCTACATACTTAATTTATAACCTGGAACTGACAGGCGTTTCCTGAACAACTCTAAGTATTTCACCCTCCCCTATTCTTGGTCCTCCCATAATCCACTGCCCCATGATATGCTTCATTGTCTTCACCAGCACTTGGCACAACATAACATTACATGACAGTTCTTACGTGTTTGTTGTTGGTCTTGCACCTGGAATACCAGCTCCATGAGGCCAGGTGTGCTGTGTGCTGGTTCACCAGCACCAGTAGACAGTGGGCATCAAGGTTCATGTGAACAGGGGAACCCAGCAAGGCTGGAAACCTGTGGTGGTGATTTCTCCTGAAAGGCACATGGATGGGTGGTGTTGACCAAGCAGCTGTGATTACATTTTGTCTCAGGAAGTCTGAATCCAGGACACTCACTTATTCAAAGGCATTTCTCTCTAAAAATTACTTTTTTGTGAAAACCTGTTTCAGGGATTGATTCACATGTTGTTTGTGGCAGAGAATGAAGTGTCTCTTTTCTCTTCCTTAGTGCTGTGTTTTCTTCCTATGAAAAGAAAAAAGAAGACTCCAGATGGAGAGCCTCAAATTGTCGGCAGATTTTTTGAAATTCCCCTGGAATTTGTATTGGTGATGCAGAGTTTGGTGCAGACTGACAAGTGAGTAATCTTCCATCTTATCGCTTTAATTTCAGGCTTCAGAGATGCCCAGCTCTGTTGTTCAAAGAGTTTTATTAAAAATTTGTGAGGGGGGAAAAGCAGTTGCTGTGGGCCTGTCTGATTTCATTATCTCTGACAGAGCACACAGATGGAGCAGAGCCAGTGAAAGGCTACAACCAGCCATTCAAGGCGCTGGGCTAAAGCAAAGGCCTCTGGAGCCTCCCTGCACTGATCATACATGTTCTAATCTGTTGGGATCTGTCTTAGTCAATGTTCCATTGTATGTAACAGAATACCTGAAACTGGGTAGTTTTGAAAGAAAAGGAATTTATTGCTTATAGTAATGAAGGCTGAGAAGTCCAATGTCACAGGGACACATCTGGTGAGATGGGGACTTGTTGGTGAGGCCTCTCTGCAGCATCCCCAGGCAGCACAGCGAACCACATAGCAAGGGTGCTCAGCATGCCAGCTCACGTTTCGCTTCCTCTCACAAAGCCAGCAGTTCCACACCTGTGATAACTCATTAATCCAAGAATCTATGAGTGGATTAATCCATTCATGAGGGCAGAGCCCTTATAACCCAAACAACTCTTAAAGGACCCATCCCTCAATACTGTCACATTGGAGACTAAGTTTCAACATGAGTTTTGGAGGGGTCATTCAAACCATAGCAGGATTTCTCATACATGAATCTCAATACATAACCTAATGTACACTTCTCAGTTATTAAACTACAGCAGTCTATTCAAAAGACACAGACCTACTAATCCCCAGCCTTCAACTTGCTTCACTTAGTGCAATTTTTGCTGTTGCTCATCTCACTAGCAAAACTGCATTCTCTGATAATTTTTCCTGTAAGTCCAGATTGAGCGACAAGCTGCCAACAGTTCCTCTGCCAGCTTTGATGCATAGTTGGAATCTAGCATTCAATAAAGGCATTCAGATTGCATTCAGACAATGTTTGAATCATCCACAGTCTAGCTACAGACCTCACAATACTCTCAAAGGCAAGGATTGGCCTGATGCACCGACTACAATGGAGGTCCTGGGGAGAGGGCAGACTGGCTTTTCTGTCCCGTAAGAAGGAGCACGAGGTCGTGTAAAGACATGTTAGCCAAGTCAAACAATCTGCCCCTTCCCATACGTATTTTTCTAGTTGCCAAGAGGAGTCTCCAGCTTCAAGAGTGGCCATACTGAAAGATGTCCGATGGAGTTTTGCAAAGAAATGGGATGAATAAAGGGCTGGGAGGAGTGCACTAGTAATACAGAATGGGCAAGAATGCAAAATATGCAGGTAGATGGTGAAGAGCCCCAGCCCCAGAGTCTGGATTTCAACACTAGCATTTCTCAACTCTCAAGAAATGGTAAGCTCAATGGAGAACTTTCTAAAAATGCCCACGCCTGGGCACAACCCCACAGAAAATTAAACTAGAATCAAATTAGAACCTCTGATGCTACCTAAAAGTTTTAGCACAATGTGTACGGTTGCATGATTCAATATATTAAAAGTCTGGGAAAACCATCAATGCAGAAAATGAAAAGTAAATGAAGAAGGTGAGTTTCTTTGGTTCCCCTGGTCACATTCACTCTGAGAGGTGACGGTGGCATTGCCAGAACCAAAGGGTTGCCAACCAAAGAGAAAAGTAGAGCTAGGGTGACCCAGGACTCCATAGCTGCCTTGAGGTCTTTGGAAACTCCCAGGCCTGCGCTCAGGGCTATAAAACTACCTCATCTACCTAAGGCCACGCAGCACTACCTTTGATTCTTTGTTAAAATCCCACTGACCACCAACCATAAAAGTATTGCCACTTTTTCAATAGACTCCTTCCATCTTATCTAAGGACTTTGTTCTTGCTTAACCTAACCTATTTATTTCCTTGCACAAGAGAAAGAGGAGGGCTTTTTTTCCATTATATATTAGGGGCTGTATTAAACTTGACAGTGGTACCAATTTTCATTCAAGCATTCATTCCCCTATCCAGTGAGGTTGCACAGGGTTCTATCTGTAGAGCTACCGGTGATAGCCTTGGCCCTAAGGATGCTGAGGTAGACACAGATTAGAGAAGCATGCTACAGAGTGCAAATGAGTGAATACAAACACACACACAGCCATTAGCATGACAAAGAAAGGAACATCACAGCAATAACAAAACCAGGAGAAGACCCATTTTCTTTTCCTTTTTCCTAAGTGAACTCAGCAAGGGTAGAGAATGACCCATTTTAACTTAGACAGTGATCAAATGGTTCATGTAAACCATGATTTTCACTGTTGCTTCCCCAGTCCAAGAAATTATGTTCTTTGAAGAACTGATACTGCATTCTAAATGATATATTTGGCACTAGAATTCAGTGTTCTGTTTCTCTGTAGGATGATAATGGAGACTGGATACATGTCTAATTCTCAAGTTACATAATTAGTAACTCTACACCATGCAAAATTTAAAAAGGAAAAAAAAAATGTCCTGCTGCAAGATAGCATCTCAGGAGGCAAAGCCGAAGTTGTTTTTGTAGGTTTAAGTTATTTAGTATGACAGCTTCTTTAGCCCTGAGTCATTACTGTTTGCTGCTTCTGTTAATATTGCCATTATTATTATTATTAATCACTGTGAAGAGGAAATATCACCATAGAAACTTGGAGGCTGGAGAGCGGAAGGGAGAGAAGGAGTGGCTCCAACACAGATGCTCAAAACCACAGCTCTCTGCATCTCCTGAGAAGCCTTTGAAGAAAATACCTTTCTGAGTGTTTTCTTCAAAGAAAAGAATTTAGGATTTGGTTTTCTATCTCTAGTTTTCATGAGGTCACAGTTCACTCTTCAGTGAATAACCCCATGGAGGGCAGGGCAGACCAAATAAGAAATGGAATGAAAAAATGAAGATGGGCACTGCATCTGTGATGGGATAAATCAGCCAGTCCCCTTTTCTTCTCTTTTTGGTTCTTCAGGTATGTAATTAATATTTCTTATCCACAGACTCAAGATGCCCTTTTATGGAACATGTAATCTTTTTTTTTTTTCCAGGACATATAATCTTAAGTTGACTTAATAAGCTGTACTTCTGACCTCAGATCTTCTTACACATTGGGTTTCAGTTCACTCACCACGTCTGGGGATTCACAGAGGTCCACGCCACTCTTGGTCATAATTAGGAACTGACTTGGGCAACACCAGGAATCAGAACCTTTTTTAAAAAAAAGTATTTCCCCTGAACAAAGAAAAGTTCCTCCTTTGGTGAAACGCATCTTTGCAGAACTAATGGTTAATATATTGTTTACTTAGAGGGCATTTTATCTCCTCCCTGGAATCTCAATTAGACAAGTATGGTCCCTTCCCCACCTCATTCTCCCCTCACCCCAGACACACACTCTTGCTTTCAAGCTCTTTGCTGCTGAAGGTGTCCCTTTGGCACACACAGGAGGAGAGAAGAGTCTCTCCAAGGATATCTTTTAAAGCGAGAAAAGCAGGGTCGGCAACTACAACCACAGCAAACAGTCCACATCCAGAGTGCACAGTCTTGCCTCATAGCTGAGAATTCAGGCCAATTCAAATATTTCCAAAACACCTCTCAGAGCCAAACACTGAGCCCTGTGCACTTAAGGAGCAAACACTGCAGTCCTCAACTCAGGGATGCAGCTCTCCCTGTTTATGTTTGGTTAGGTTCACACAGGAATATTGACAGTCCATAGATTTTAAGTTACTACTAGGTCTCGTCTCTGAGATTTTCAGAACTCCATACCATAGCTGTGATTGGATGCAGTCTGTATTAAACTCTTAATAATCATCATGAATGTTTAATAGAACGAAACAACGTACAAGCTGCTATTACATTCACTGTGTCTGGTGCATAGTAGGCGCTGTGAAATGAGAAATGGATGAATGCAAAATGACGCAATTTTTAAGAGATTAAAATGACCGGGGGATGATGAGAACTCTCCGTAGTGTTAGTGAGCTTCACTTTCCAGAAGCAATTTCCAAACATCTATGTTTATGACAGCATTCCGTCTAGATTTCCAAAACAGTTCCCATTTTGATTAGTTTGCCTTCTTGTTGCCATAAATACCCTTGTACTTGCCATATTGGGTACCTTGTATTCTTAGTTTATAGTCAGCATAATTAAGATTGCTGCATTTTTTGCTGCATAACCAGGCCTCTTAAACAAAAAGCAGTCCTAGGTCACTCTCAGTTTCTAGGCTGCAAGCATACTATATGTGTGTGTATGTCTGTGCATATGAAGATTGCCAAATCAAGGTTATAAAACTTGTGAGATGATTTACACATCAGCATTAAACAATTTAATACCTTGAAGCCCCCCAAAATACAATGTAATAGAATTATATAAATTTCAGGTGAATAGCACAATTATATGTGGGCACACACACATACACTCACCCTCTTTGGATGGTGTGGTTTGTTACGGGGTCACCGGTTTAATGATATAGAAACATCTTTTGGTCTTGTCCTTGGATCCCCATATTTCTGGCTGGCTAGAAGTTCATTTGGTTATCATTTTTTTTTATTGCATTGGTTATCACATTATGCAACTAAATGGGAGATGCCATAATGATACTAAATGCCCTTCTGGCTGCCAGGTGCATGCTAATAAACCAGCCCTAAAGATGAGTACAGGTCCTGAGTCAACTGTTGTTCTGCCTAAGAGGAGACAGCACTTTCCCAGAAATGGACTGGGAGCATTGTCTGAGCTCTGTCCTTTGCTGTCCTTGCTTTGATCTCACAGTTTGGAAAGAGCTGGGAAAAGCCCTGTGGCCTGGAAACAATTTCATAGGCTGAAACATTTTTAAAACTAACTGCAGAGTTGTTAGAACCTCAGCGATGAGCTCTCTTTTTCCACAGTACCTTCAAAGGGAGCCATAAGTAAAGCACAAACAGAATCAGCTTTCAAAAGCTCCCTGGCTTCCCACCTCTGCTGTGGGCTTCCTGTGGGAAACAGGGAACCGCTGGCCTGCGGGAGAGGAATCAACTATTTCCCAGAGCCACTGGGAGAGCACTTTTCAAAAGGTAAAAGGAAATCTTCTCATGAAGCTGTTTAGTCACCAAGCCCACAGTGAACAAGACAGTGGTGGTGAGTTTTAGAGACGTTTTAAAGCATAGGAAGGAAGTATTACTTCTATGTATATTAGCATCCACAATCTCTGTCCTCACAAGGCCTATTCCTGGGGCATCAGCACTTACAAGAGTTATGATAGAAAGATTTTCAGATGGGTGCAGTGGCTCACCCCTGTACTCCCAACACTTTGGGAGGCCAAGGTGGGCAGATCACCTGAGGTCACGAGTTTAAAACCAGACTGCCCAACATGGTGAAACCCCGTCTCTACTAAAAATACAAAAATAAGCCGGGCATAGTGGTGCACACCAGTAGTCCCCGCTACTCAGAAGGCTAGAGGTTGCAGTGAGCCAAGATATCACGCCATTCCACTCCAGCCTAGGCGACACAGCAAGACTCCGCATCAAAAAAAAAAAAAAAAAAAAAAAAAAAAAAAAAAAAAAAAAAAATTCTACTAAATTAAGAAATAGAAATATAACATGATGACAGTTTAAAATAAGACTTAGGAACTCCTCTATGCTCCTTCTCTTCCACCATCCACCATTAAAGCAGGGAGTGGTGCTGGCTTCATGGAATATCTTTTCTCTATTAGGAATGCCGCCCCTGCCCTCTGACTCTGTCCTTTTCAATAGCTGTCCAGAGTCTGGGTCACGTCATTTGGTAAAGACTTGGGTCAACTTGTTTAATCACCCATATTTATGTTAGTGATTAAACCATGAGGAGAGTGGAAAGCAAGAGATACTGAGAGTTTAAATATTGTCTCAGCTCCATTGCAGCAGACATCATTGAAAAGTCAAAAACAAATGTTGTATTAGCATGCAGTCAGTGTCTCTGAGCTTTCTCTCATATGCCTACTCATAGCACAGAGGAGTGAATAAAATTGCTAGGTAACTAACAATAATAACCATTTTTATTGAGCACTCTTATGTGCAAGGCATGGTGTTAACTGAATTAAATAATGTATAAAAAGCATTTAACTCCTAAGAAGCTTGCATTATTTATTCCAGTTTTTCATGTGAAAAACTGAGGTTTAGAAAGGACAAGTGACTTGTCCAAGGTCAGATAGGAGTGTTGGTGAACTCAAGATTCAGACTGGCACTATTTAACTGTAAAGACCAAGATGAGAGAAAAGGAAACGTGCTGAAATTCTCATGGCATTTATCAACAATTCCAGCCATTTGAGACTTAACATAGTCTACAATGTGTCAATGATCATTTCAAGCTTTATAATCACATTAAGATCACAAAATCCTTTAGGTCAAAGACTGAGTTTTTTACTTTTTTATATTCTTCAAAGTCCCTAACATAACAATTTGTACAAAAGAAGCAATTAATAAAAATGTGCATTAATAAATCTAAAAGAGGGGAGTTAAATTATCAAGTGAGTTGAAGAAAAAATGAGCCTACTAAGAGGATGAAGATGAGAATTTGTCTTCCCCATTTTCCAGGATATGGGTCATTTTTAAGAGACAAATTCCAGGTCTATCTCAAGCTCCAAAGGAGGAAACTATTCTAGCTTAATTAACTTTCTGAAAAAGCTATCTTGAAAAGGAAGAGGGCAGTGGAATTCCTCCAACAACCTCCTTAATATCTCAGTGGGAAATGATTCCAGCAAAGCTCCAATGTAAATCAAGCTTGGCTCCCCAAAACCCCAGATACGTACAGTTTCAGAGGCTCATCCCTTTAATCTTTCTGCTCTCTCCTGAGGGCTTATAACTTCCACAGTGGCTGGAGGGCAGAAGGAGTCATAGCAGCTCAGCCCTGATACAAAAGTAAGCCAATGAGGGACTGTGAGCCATCAGGAGTGAGCAAGATAAGCAGCAGAATCCTCTAAGCAAAAACCCCCAGGCAGAAATGCCAAGGAAAAAGGTCCTAGAAAGTTTATAGATTCCCATGGGCTTGCAAAGAGAAGCACCCTTACAGCATAGCCTCAAAGGGCCATGCTGCCTTCATCCCAAGAGGGCTGTGTTGTCTACACTGTCTCCTTTTGAGAAGTGTGTCTCCCACATGTGCACATGCACTGCATGCACACGGCTGCCCTAACTGTACTCAGTTCTCTCTCGTCTATATTAAGGTATGCAGTTGTGATTCATTAAACAACACTGGACTCTAGGTGACCAACATGATTCTTGGGGGCAGCTGCATACAAGTCAGTAGAAAGTGGAGAAAGTAACACCAATAAGTAAGTGAATAAAATACCACCCGGTCTTGTGATAATTTAGCAGTAAGTATCACTTAGATTTCAGTATTTCTCCTTCATATGTACAAGTAGGATGTGTTATCCTTTAAGACAAAATTCTGGGGACAAGGGGAGAGACATTCTGTTTTCAACATTTGTCTGGTGCCATTTCTATACATAATCTGTGGCTAAAGCCCAACTCTATGGCTGGATAAGTGTCCTAAGGCTGGGCCTTTAGGACACCACTTCCCTCCCAGCCCTACATCCTAGGCAGCAGGGTCTCCGCCAGCAGTGCACATCTGTGATCATGGCCCAGGGAGGAGAGGGTTGCCCTCACAAATGCTGCTTTTGTGGACACTTTGGCACTCCTCATGGGTGATGCCAAAGCCTGCCTCTGAGTTCACGTTTCCCCCACTGCAATGTGATACACTGCCATTAGGTGCCTGGTGCTGTGTCTGCTGTTTTGAAAATATTTGCTTCTAACTCCAGCTACCATTTGTTTGTAACCTTTATTCCTATCCATAGGTCAGCTTGAAACTGCCACTGTAGGCTTTGGGTCTCCCTGGACTTTCACAACAGACTAGACACCATATCCTCTTAGAATGGTTTGGACAGCAAGAGCATTGTCATGAGCTGTTCACCACCACAAGTACAGTCTACTTTTTTAAAGGGCTGCAGTTGTATGTCACTTCCAAGCTACTATGGTGAGTACCCAGAAGGAGAAACAAAGGATTAGAAAGCAAAATAGCTGGGTAGACTAAAAAAAAAAAAAATCTGCGTGCTATCAAAGTAAATGGAAAAACTAATATCAAATTTGCTTGGTATTTCAAGAAAACAGTAACACAGCAAAAGAGGAAGAACTCTATTAAAGAAGTGGTACAACCCATGGGAATTCAAAAACAAGCCAGGCACAGTGGCTCACACTTATAATCCCAGAACTTTGGGAGGCCAAGGTAGGCAGATCACCTGAGGTCAGGATTTCTCAAGACCAGCATGGCCAACATGGTGAAACCCTGTCTCTACTAAAAATATAAAAAATTAGCTAGGTGTGGTGCTGGGTGCCTGTAATCCCAGCTACTCAGGAGGCTGAAGCAGGAGAATCACTTGAACCTGGGAGGTGGAGGTTGCAGTGGGCCAAAATCATGCCATTGTAGAACCTGGGCAACAAGAGTGAAACTCTATCTCAAAAAAAACCCCAAAACAAATTTAAAAAAACAGGACATTGCTGGCAAGATGGCCAAATAGGAACAGCTCTGGTGCACAGCTCCCAGCAAGAACAATGCAGAAGGCAGATGATCTCTGAATTTCCAACTGAGTGGTACCTGGAAAGCCAGTGAGACATAACTGTTCACTCCCCTAAAAATGGGGGCTGAAGTGAGACAGCCAAGTGATAGTGAGGAGTGGGACCTGCCAAACCCTAAGACCAGCAAGCTAAGATTCACTGGCTTGAAATTCTCAGAGCCATCACAGCAGTCTGAGCTCAAGCTGGGATGTTTGAGCTTGGTGCAGGGAGGGGCATCCACCATTGCTGAGGCTCAAGTAGGTGGTTTTAACCTCACCTATGTAAACAAACTCACCAGGAAGTTCAAACAATGCAGACCCCACAGCAGCTCAGCAAGGCCTCTGCAGGCAGACTATGTCCCTAGACTCCCTCCTCGCTGGGCAGAGCATCCGTGGAGAGAAAAAAAAAAAAAAAAAAAAGCAGCCTGTCAGGGACTTATAAATAAAGCCCCCAACTTCCTGGGACATAGTACCTTGGAAAAGGGCCAGTTGTGGGCACAGTTTCAGCACACTTAAACATCCCTGCCTGGCAACTCTGGAGGGAGCAATGGATTTCCCAGCACAGTGTTCAAGCTCTGATAAGGGACACACTGCCTCCTGAAATGACTCCCTGACCCCCCTGTGTCCTGTCTGGGAGATACCTTCCACCAGGGGCTGAAAGACACCTCATATAGGAAAGCTCTGGCTGGCATCTGGCAAGTACCCTTCTGGGATGAAGCTACCAGTGGAAAGAACAAGCAGCAATTTTTGCTGGTCTGCAGCCCCCACTGGTGAGTCCCAGGCAAGCAGGGTCTGGAGTGGACCTCTGGCAAACTCCAGCAGACCTGCAGAAGAGGGGTCTGACTGTTAGAAGGAAAACTAACAAAAAGAAATAGTTTCATCATCAACAGAGAGGACATCCACTCAGAGACCCATCCAAAGGTCACCAACATCAAAGACCAAAGGTAGATAAATCATGAAGATGGGAAGAACCCAGCACAAAAAGGCTGAAAATTCCAAAAACCGGAATGCCTCTTCACCAAGGGATAACAACTCCTCACCAGCAAGGGAACAAAACTGGATAGAGAATGAGTTTGACAAACTGACAGAAGCAGGCTTCAGAAGGTGGGTAATAACAAACCTCACCAAGCTAAAGAAGCATGTTCTAACCCAATGCAAGGAAGCTAAGAACCTTGAAAAGAGGTTAGGCCAAATGTGAACTAGAATAACCAGCATAGAGAAGAACATAAATAACCTGATGGAGCCGAAAAACACAGCACAAGAACTTCACGAAGCATACACAAGTTTCAGTAGCTGAACCAATCAAGAGGTAGAAAGGATATTAGGCATTGAAGATCAACTCAATGAAATAAAGCAAGATTAGAGAAAAAGGAGTGAAAAGAAATGAACAAAGCCTCCAAGAAATATGGAATTATGTGAAAAGATGAAATATGCATTTGATTGGTGTACCTGAAAGTGACGGGGAGAATGAAACCGAGTTGGAAAACACTCTTCAGGACATTATCAAGAACTTCCCCAACCTAGCAGGGCAGGCCAACATTCACATTCAGGAAATACAGTGTAACACCAAAAAGATACTCCTCAAGAATAGTAATTCCAAGACACATAATTGTCAGATTCACCAGTGTTGAAATGAAGGAAAACATGCTCAGGGCAGCCAGAAAGGTGGGGTTACCCACAAAGGGAAGCCCATGAGACTCACAGCAGATCTCTTGGCAGAAACCCTACAAGCCAGAGGAGAGTGGGGGCCAATATTCACCATTCTTAAAGAATTTTCAACCCAGAATTTCACATACAGCCAAATTAACTTCATAAGCAAAGGAAAAATAAAATCCTTTATGGACAAGCTACTGCTGAGAGATTGTGTCACCACCAGCCTGCCTTATAAGAGCTCCTGAAGGAAGCACTAAACATGGAAAGAAACATCCAGTACCAGCCACGGCAAAAACATATGAAATTGTAAAGGCCATCGAAACTATGAAGAAACTTCATCGACTAATGGGCAAAACAACCAGCTAGCATCACAATGGCAGGATCAAATTCACTCATAACAATATTAACATTAAATGTAAATGGGCTAAATATCCCAATTAAAAGACACATAGACAATTGGATGAAGAGTCAAGGCCGATCGGTGTGCTGTATTCAGGAGACTCATCTCATGTGCAAAGACACACATAGCCTCAAAATAAAGGAATGGAGGAAGATTTACCAAGCAAATGGAAGGCAAGAAAAAAAAGGAGGGGTTGCAATCGTCATCTCTGATAAAACAGACTTTAAACCAACAAAGATCAAAAGACACAAAGAAGGGCGTTACATAATGGTAATGGGATCAATACAACAACAAGAGCTAACTATTCTAAATATATATACACTCAATACAGGAGCACCTAGATACATAAAGCAAGTTTTTAAAGACCTACAAAGAGACTTAGACTCCCACACAATAATAGTGGGAGACTTTAAAACCCTACTGTCAATATTAGATCAACAAGACAGAAAATTAACAAGGATATCCAGGACTCGAACTCAGATCTGGACCAAGGGGACCTAATAGACATCTATAGAACTCTCCACCCCAAATCCACAGAATATACATTTTTCTCAGCACCACATCACACTTACTCTAAAATTGACCACATAATTGGAAATAAAACACTCCTCAGCAAATGCCAAAGAATGGAAATAAGATTCTCTCAGACCATGGTTCAATCAAATTAGAACTCAGGATTAAGAAACTAACTCAAAACCATACAACTACATGAAAACTGAACAACCTGTTCCTGAATGACTACTGGATAATAATGAAATGAAGGCAGAAATAAAGATGTTCTTAAAAACCAGTGAGAATGAAGACAACATACCAGAATCTCTGGGACACATTTAAAGGGGTGAGTAGAGGGAAATTTATAGCACTAAATGCCCACAAGAGAAAGGAGGAAAGATTTAAAAATCAAAATCCTAACATCATGATTAAAGAACTAGAGGAGTAGGAACAAACAAATTCAAAAGCTCCAGTAGACAAGAAATAACTAAGATCAGAGCAGAACTGATGGAGATAGACACAGAAAACCATTTTTTAAAAAATCAATGAATTCAGGAGATGGTTTTTCGAAAAGATCAACAAAATAGACCACTAGCCAGACTAATAAGAAAAGAGAGAAGAATCAAATAGATGCAATAAAAAATGATAAAGGAGATATCACCACCAATCTCACAGAAATACAAACTACCCTCAGAATATTAATAACACCTCTATTCATTTCTTCCAGATTTTCTGGTTTATTTGCATAAATTTCTGGGCACTTACAACCTCCTAAGACTAAACCAAGAAGAAGTTCAATCCCTGAAAAGACCAATAAGAGGGTCTGAAATTGAGGCAGCAATTAATAGCCTACCAACCAATAAAAATCTAGGACCAGATGTGTTTACAGCCAATTCTACTTAGCTTTTGAATTTCTTTGTTCTTGCTCCTCTAGTACTTTTAATCATGATGATAGGGTGTCAATTTTAGATCTTTCCTCCTTTCTCTTGTGGGCATTTAGTGCTATAAATTTCCCCCTACTTACTACTTTAAATGTGTCCCAGAGATTCTGGTATGTTGAGGTACAAAGAGGAGTTGGTACCATTCCTTCTGAAACTATTCCAAACAATAGAAAAAGAGAGACTCTTCCCTAACTCATTTTATGAGATCAACATCGTCCTGATATCAAAACCCGGCAGAGACACAACTAAAAAAGAAAATTTCAGGCCAGTATCCTTGATGAGGATTTCTGCATCAATGTTCAAGAAAATACTGGCAAATCAAATGCAACAGCACATCAAAGAGTTTATCCATCATGATCAAGTTGGCTTCATCCCTGGGATGCAAGCCTGGTTCAATATATGCAAATCGATAAATGTAATCCATCACATAAGCAGAAACAAAGACAAAAACCAAATAATTATCTCAATAGATGTAGAGAAGGCCTTTGACAAAATTCAACAGTGCTTTATGCTAAAAACTCTCAATAAACTAGGTATTGATGGAATATATCAAAATAATAAGAGCTATTTATGACAAACCCACAGCCAATATCATCCTAAATGGGCAAAAACTAGAAGCATTCCCTTTGAAAACTGGCAAAAGACAAGGATGCCCTCTCTCACCACTCCTGTTGAACATAGTAGCAGAAGTCCTGGCCAGGGCAATCACGCAATAAAAAGAAATAAAAGTATTCAATTAGGAAGAGAGGAAATCAAATTGTCTCTATTTGCAGATGACATGGTTGTATATTTAGAAGACCCCATCGTCTCAGCCCAAAATCTCCTTAAGCTGATCAGCAACTTCAGCAAAGTCTCAGAATACAAAAATCAATGTGCAAAAATTACAAGCATTTCTATACACCAATAACAGAGAGCCAAATCATGAGTGAACTTCCATTCACAATCGCTACAAAGAGAATTAAATACCTAGGAATATAACTAACAAGGGATACAAAGGACCTCTTCAAGAAGAACTACAAACTACTGCTCAAGAAAATAAGAGAGGACACAAACAGATGGAAAAACATTCCATGCTCATGGTTAGGAAGAATCAATATCATGAAAATGGCCATACTACCTAAAGTAATTGATAGATTTGATGCTATTTTCATTAAGCTACCATTGACTTTCTTCACAGAATTGGAAGAAGCCACCTTACATTTCATTTGAAACCAAAAAAAGAGACCCCATAGCCAAGACAATACTAAGCAAAAAAGAAAAAAAAAAAGCTGGAGTCATCACGCTACCTGACTTCAAACTATACTACAAGTTTACGGTAATCAAAACAGCATGGTACTGGTACCAAAACAGATATATAGACCAATGGAACAGAATAGAGGCCTCAGAAATAATGCCACACATCTACAACCATCTGATCTTTGACAAACCTAACAAAAACAACCAATGGGGAAAGGATTCCCTGTTTAACTAATGGTGTTGGGAAAACTGGCTAGCCAAATGTGGAAAGCTGAAACTGGATCTCTTCCTTACACCTTATACAAAAATTAACTCCAGATGGATTAAAGATTTAAACGTAAGACCTAAAACCATAAAATCCCTAGAAGAAAACGTAGGCAATACCATTCAAGACATAGACATGGGCAAGGACTTCATAACAAACACCAAAAGCAATGGCAACAAAAGCCAAAATAGACAAATAGGATCTAATTAAAGAGCTTCTGCACAGTAAAGAAACTATCATTAGAGCAAATCAGCAAGCAAGAGAATGGGAAAAAAATTTTGCAATCTACCCATCTGACAAAGCGCTAATAGCCAGAATCTACAAAGAACTTAAACAAATTTACAAGAAAAAGACAACCCCATCAAAAAGTGGGTGAAGGATATGAACAGACACTTCTCAAAAGATGACATTTATGCAGCCAACAAACATGAAAAAAAGCTCATCATCACTGGTCATTAGAGAAATGCAAATCAAAACCACATTGAGATACCATCTCATGGCAGTTAGAATGGCATGGCGATTATTAAAGAATCAGGAGACAACAGATGCTGGAGAGGATGTGGAGAAATAGGAACGCTTTAACACTGTTGGTGGGAGTGTAAATTAGTTCAGCCATTGTGGAAGACAGTGTGGTGATTCCTCAAGGATCTAGAACTAGAAATACCATTTGACCCAGCAATCTCATTACTGGGTATATACACAGAGGATTATAAAGCATTCAACTCTCAAGACACATGGACATGTATGTTTATTGTGGCAATCTTCACAATAGCAAAGACTTGGAAGCAACCCAAAACCCATCAATGATAGACTGGATAAAGAAAATGTGGCACATATACACCATGGAATACTATGCAGCCATTAAAAGAGGATGAGTTCATGTCATTTGCAGGGACATGGATGAATCTGGAAACCATCATTCTCAGTAAACTGACACAAGAACAGAGGACCAAACACATGTTCTCACTCATAAATGGGAGTTGAACAATTAGAACACATAGACACAGGGAGGGGAGCATCACATACCGGGGCCTGTCAGGTGGTGGGGGGCTAGGGGAGTGATAGCATTAGGAGAAATACCTAATGTAGATGGCAGGATGATGGATGCAGCAAACCACCATGGCACACGTATACCTATTTAACAAACGTGCACATTCTGCACATGTACCCCAGAAATTAAAGTATATTAAGAAAACAATAACACATGATGTGAGATATTTGATAACACTGTCTCCAAGAAGAAACAAGACTCTAAGCAATGCAATAATGATATTGTTTTGGATGTTAATAAAGTAGGTCTAGCCTAAAAGCAGGTGTCAAATGCAAAATATTCACTTCTGAGTAGTAGGCATCTTAGTAACGGGAACAATAGGAGACATTTCGTTATTCATACTCCTTATCATTTCTTGCTTACTAAGAAAATTATCAAAACACGGATTTGCTTTGTGAGTTACTCAGGGTTTGCCATAGAGACAGAACCGTAGGACATATATAGGGAGAGAGAGGAAAATGAATTTATTAGGGGAATTAGGTCACTTGATTATGGAGGCTGAGTAGCCTTATAGTAGCCTGTCAGTGAACTGGAGAACGAGGGAAGCCAGCGGCATGCTCAGTCCAAGTCTGAAAGCCTTAGAACCAAAAAAGACAAAGGTGTAAATCTCAGTTCAGGGCCAAAGGTCCAGAAGCCCAGTGGTCCGCTGGTGTGAGAGGTGGGGTCTGACAATGGGAGAACCTGGAGTCTAACATCCATGGGCAGGAGAAGATGGGCATCCTGGCTCTGGAAGAGAGAGCAAGAAGTCACCCTTCCTTGTCCCGTTTAGTTCCATCTAAACCCTCAGCCAACTGGAGAGTGCCCACCCACACTGAAGGTGGATATTCTCCACTCAGTACAGTGACTTACATGCCAATCTCCTCTACAAAGATCCTCATACCTGGGGTAGCCCAATCATTCTAATCAAACTCCAAGTCACCTGGCATTGCTATCAAAGCAAAGCAGCTTTGTTCCATAAGAGGAACAAGTTTAGGGCCCACTGAAGTAGTGAGAATAATAATGCTTTGCCAGCTATCTGGGTGTCCCTTAATCTGGTCAAGTTGATACCCAAAACCACCCATCACACTCTGGCACAAAGCAAGCTGGGACCTCAATACCCTGTGTCACTGGGGAGGAGTTAGGAGTTATAAGTCTAGATTTGATGGGGCAGCACTGGAAGAGAGACAGGACTAATCCAGTCAACCCTTCATGAGCAGCTGAACCGTC